CTAAATTATTAAATGCTTCTGATGCGGCCAGCAAGGTCACTGAGCAGTGGAGTGCCTGGCTCCAGCCCCTGTCTCACAAGCAAAGACCTCAGAGTAGACCAAGCTGAAAAAAACACTGCAAAAAGCTACAGAGAGGGGAAAATTTGCCCGCCAAGTCATCAAGGCTCCCCCTCACCTCAGTGGGGAAGAGGGAATGACCTGATGATCAGTGAAACCATCCGTCCATTTGCCATCCAGTTGAAGCTAGTGGTACCTAAGACAGGGGCACAGGCTATACCCATTGTCTGATCAGTCTGCCCACAGTTCTGAAGCTAGGAATCAAGATAAAGCCCATAGCCAACCCCATATGCTTTGAAGAAGTTGATAGGTTGCTAATAGGGGGAGCACTTGCCACAATCCTCACTGAACCCATAAAATTAGAGATGGGCCAGCACTGGGAGCTGATATGGTTCACAGTAGTGCCAAAAATGACAGAAGCAGCAATTCTAGGCCTGGCATGGCTGGACAAGTGGGGCCCCACCATCTCATGGGAAGGCAGCTACAGGAAGCTGAAGCTAGGAATAGGCTTCTCCTCCCTCCCAACATGGCTAGGGAAGGAGCTATCCTCAGACTGAACAGCATTAAGTGAAGCGAAAGAGATGCAGCTGCTTCACAACCATACCAGGCACCCCCTAGATCCCCAAGGAATACCAGGACTTGGCTGAGGCATTTAGCGAGGAGGATTGCAACATGCTACCCTCCACCCACCCCACAGACTGTGCCATAGAAATTGTACCTGGAGCCAAACTACTCAAGCCAAAGATGTACTCCATGACCCCCATTGAGATGAGAAAACTGAGAGAGTACATTGACACCAACCTAGCCCAGCCAGCTAAATCCAGAGTGGCCACCCCAGTCCTGTTTAAAGAGAAAAAAGACGAGTCGATGAGGCTCTGCATTGATTTTTTTTTAAATTTGATTTATATGCCGCCCTTCTCCGGAGACTCAGGGTGGCTTACAATGCGCTAAGCAATTTTAGAGGAATTAATGCCATATGTGTGAAGAATACATACCCACTGCCCCTCATGAAAGACATGTTAGCACATCTACCCAAGGGGAAGGTGTTCACCAAGCTAGACCTACGAGAGGCATACTACTGGATGTGAATTAAGGAAGGAGATGAATGGAAAACTGCCTTCAACTGTCCCTTAGGAAGCTTCCAATTCAAAGCAGTGCCCTTTGGGTTGCAGGGAGTCCCTGCAGTCTTCATGCAACTGATAAAGGAGGTGCTACATGAGCACTTGTATAAAGGAATCTTCATATAGCTAGACAACGTTCTTATTTTCACTGAAACCCTGGATGAGCATGTCAAATTGGTGCACCAAGTGTTGAAAAAACTCCTTGCTGCCAAACTATACGTGAAGCTGTCAAAATGCAAATTCCAGAAGACTAGCCTAGACTACCTGGGCTATAGAGTGTCAAGCGAGGGCATAGAAATGGACCTGGCTAAAGTTAAAGCGGTCCTAGACTGGCAACCCCCTTGCACATGAAAACAGCTTCAGAGCTTCTTGAGATTTGCTAACTTCTTCCCTCCTTCACTGAAATTGCCCTACCCATCACAGAGCTGAAAGACTGGGGGCAGGGGCTCAACACCACAGCTGAGCCAACCCCTAAACTGGACTTTGGAATGCCAGTGGGCATTCGAGGCACTGAAAAGGCTATTCGCCAAAGAGCCAATCTTCAGTCACCCTAATCCAGAACAGTCCTTCACAGTCCAAGCCGACGCTAGTGATGTGGCCATTGCAGCAACTCTCCTTCAAAGGAGAGTAACGCCAATGGTAACTTGCAACCCTACACATACACCTCCAAAAAATTGAGAGACTGAAAAAAGATGGGCAGTGTGGGAGAAGGAAGTTTATGCAGTCCGACTGGCCCTACTGATGTGGAGAGCCTTTCTTGAGGGCAGCCACATGCCGTTCAAAGTGTGGACTGAACACAACAACCTAGAGGCACTCAAAACCCCACCAAAACTCTCACCAAAACAGTATTTAAAATGGTTCAATTTCGAACTAAAGTACATCTCGGGGGGGGGGAACGAACCTCCTGGTAGATGCTCTGTCATGCAAGCCACAGTACAATAGAAACGCAAAGAGGTGGTCCATGCTATGATCCCCCCTCCCAACTTGTCTCTCAAACCACAACCAGGGAACAGGCTAAATGATGAAGGACCACAGATGGTGGGGGAGATGACCCAAAAACTAAGGGAAGAATTGCCAGCCATCCCATAGTATAGAAACAACAAAGAAGCACAGACATTGAAAGATGGATTAGCCTGAAAAGGCTCCAAATTGTATGTGTCCAATAGCCTGCAACTCCAAGTACTCTAGAAGAGTCATGATTCCAAGCAGCTGCAGAAGAAGTTGCGCAGTGGCATGATAGGTGTCGGGGCATGGGAGCTCCAGGTTCTGTGAGACTGCTCTCTCAACAGCCTAGTATTGAATCAGTATGCTAAGCAATGGTAATATTTTATCTTTAATAACATGGCCCTCCCAGCAGGGTAAAAGTTGAGAACAGGCCTTCTGAAAGCACAAGCACATGGACAGGGCCGGATTTAGATGAAAAGAGGCCCTAGGCTATTCCACTTATGAGGCCCTTTCACCAGTGGTGGGATTCAATTTTTTTAACAACAGGTTCTGTGGGCGTGGCTTAGTTGGGGGTGTGGCTTGGCAATTATGTGATTGGGTGGGCATGGCTAGCTGGTCACGTGACTGTATAGGCATGGGTAGCTCGTCATGTGACCGGGTGGGCATGGCTATGTGCATAGGGACTACTCAGAGGGCTGAAAAAAGTCATTTCTGACTGGGCCTCGCACTTTTGACCGGTTCTCACACTTATGACCATCCTCACATTTATGCCCGTGCAGCTTTCTTAACAACCATGTCACTCATTTCACAACTGCTTATCTTCACCATGGTGACAAGATAGGGCAAAAATGTAAAATGTGAGGACAGTTGTAAGTTCAAGGACTGGTCAAAAGTGCGAGGACCAGTCAAAAATAACTTTTTCAGCCCTCTGAGTAGTCCATATGCATAAAAGGATACAGCAATAGAGAGGGATGAAGGAAGGGAAGGGAAATTAGAGTAGGAGTGAGGGTAAGAGAGGGAGGAAGAGAGGAGGAGAAAGAGAAAGGAAGAGGAAGTAGGGAGGAGAAGAAGAGGGGGAGGAAGAGAAAGTAAGAAGGAAAGAAAAGAGAGAGATGGTAGGTTTGAGGAGAAAGATTGCTGTACAATAAAAAAGATGAAAGGGAAGAAAGCCAACCCCAAACAAATATAAAGATATTAAGATAAAGAATGAATTGTTAAACTTTAAAGAATAAAAGAGAACAAATATGAATAAATAATAATTAGAAACACACATACAAACATACAATGTATTTTCTTTGAACAGAGTATTTGGCCGGTTCACAAATTTAAACAGTGTTTAGTCATTTCAATTAAATTTACAATTTCTATATTTCCTTTTTGCCATATTTATTCCTCATCTATTTTTGTAAAAAACCAATATTACCCTTCATCCTCATCTCTAATCTTAATCAAATTCAATTTTTCCCTTCTATTCTATATTATACCCCTTCCCATTGTCATCTATTTTTATATCCATCCTCACATTGGTTAATTATGTAATATTAGTTGTTTAATATAAATTCAACATTTTAATATAAATCAATTAGTTATATAACTACCTTTTTTGTATATTAAGCAATATGAACATGAATATTCCAATTATTTCCATGCAATCCAATTTCTTACAAATCAATTATATTTACCAATAATAATAAACCAAATAATTTCCCCCATATATTCCTCCAAACCACAATTTAACCATTTCTGCTTTCAGAAATATACAATTAATAGTATCTCAATTATTACAATTCCCTAGTTTAATAGAGCTTTTTTTCTTTTGTGTTTTAAAATCCTGAACTCTCCTCTTTTTCCCTAAATTTCCCATTGTTTGCACCTACCTTTTTTGGTGAGGAAAAAGAAAAGAATTCTGCCTGCCTAATTTTCCAACCTTGCAGCAACAGCAAAGCAGTTTCAGTTTTGTTTCTCAGCATAGTTAGGGGGAAAAAAATCAGCACTCTTTGCAAGGAAGCAGAAGAGCCCTGAGCAAAACAGCTGAGACAAATCAGCTGAGAGCCGGAAGGCCAATTAGCCTATGCTGAAGCTCCGTGGGCCAATAAAATTACAAAAAAAACACCGAACCCTTTGTTAAATTGCTGGCTCCCCCACCCCTCACCCACCACTATTGATTGGCAATAAATAGTGGTGCGGAGGGGCGGGGCAAGCCAGCAATTTAACAAAGGGTTCGGCTGCACCACTGGCTCTAGGGCGGCCCTTTGAAGCCCCGCGGCAAGAATTTGAAGTTTTTTTTCCCTCTAGCCATCGGAGGCAGCAATAGATTGGGAGTGGGTGGGGTAAGCGAATGGCCGGCGATCCAACAGAGCAGAGAGTGAGGGTGAGTGAAGGCGTGGAAGCTGCTTTCTCCATCTTGCTCTCTTAAGTCCGGAGCCGGTGGGAAACCATGTGGCAGCCCACGTGGATCCCAGGCAGCGGAACTCAGGCTAGGGAAGGGGTGGGCAATTGTGGCTCTTTTACAACCTGTGGCCTTCAACTCCCAGCTGTCTCAGGAATTCTGGAATTTGAAGTCCACAGGTTGTAAAAGAGCCACAATTGCCTACCCCTGGCTACGGTAGGCTGGCGCCGCGCGGGTGGGAGGCGAGGGGCGGGCGAGCCAGCAATTTAACAAAGGGTTCGGCCGAACCCCCTAGAGCCCCCTGAATCCCACCACTATGTAGGCCCCTCTTCATCTTGAGGCCCTAGGCTGAAGCCTAGTTAGCCTATAGGAAAATCCAGCCCTGCCCATGGAGGTCTAGATTTGTTAGCCATTTGCTTCTCAAAGCAAAGCAGCAAACTTCTAGTAAATTCTAGTAAATTCTAGTAAATTAAAAAAAGAAAACGTACATCTAGTGTAGTCGAACAGTTGTCTGGTTCTTTCAGGCACACTGGGCAGTTTGCTGGCATTTAGTCCAAGCTGTCTAGACATATGGAAAGAGCACAAAGGAATTTATAGAATTACATTTTACTAAAATAAACTCTATATTATTCTTTTCCTCTATATGCCTAAGAAACAAAGATATCACTTCATCAGCCATAAGTGCAAACTATATTTACCTTTTGAAATTCACAGACTGAAGGATCTCACAGCAAAGAAGACCCTATGATAAGGTGACCAGACGTCCCGCTTTTGGCAGGACAATCCCGCTTTTGAGCAATTTGTCCCGCGTCCCGCGGCGTTTCAAAAAAGTCCCGATTTTTCTTGAGCCCCAGCTGATGGCTAGAAGAAAAAAAAACTGTTTAAACTCTTGCCCAGGACTTCAAAGGGCCGCCCTACAGGCAATCAGTGTAAAGCAGTTTTTTTTTCCCCTAGCTAAGCTTCAGAAACGAAACCGAAACCAGGGTCTTTGGTGCAGCGTGACAAAATGAGGCAGAGAGAGATTTATTTTTATTTTTATTTTTCCTCCCCAAAAAAGGTAGGTGAAAAACTGCAAACAATGGGAAATTTAGGAGGAGAGTTCAAGATTTTAAAACACAAAGGAAAAAAAGCTGTATTTAACTAGGGAATTGTAATAATTGAGATACTATTAATTGTATATTGTGTTGAAAGCAGAAATGGTTAAGTTGTGGTTCGGAGGAATATATGGGAGAAATTATTTGGTTTATTATTATTGGTAAATATAATTAATTGATTTGTAAGAAATTGGATTGCATGGAAATAATTGGAATATTCATGTTCATATTGATTAATATACAAAAAAGATAGTTTTATAACTAATTGATTTATATTAAAATGTTGAATTTGTATTAAACAACTGTATTACATAATTACATAATTAAACAATGTGAGGATGGATATAAAAATAGATGACAATGGGAAGGGGTATAATATAGAATAGAAGGGAAAAATTGAATTTGATTAAGATTAGAGATGAGGATGAAGGGTAATATTGGTTTTTTTAAAAAATAGATGAGGAATAAATATGGCAAAAAGGAAATATAGAAATTGTAAATTTAATTGAAATGACTAAACGCTGTTTAAATTTGTGAACCAGCCAAATATTCTGTTCAAAGAAAATACATTGTATGTTTGTATGTGTGTTTCTAATTATTGCTATTTATTCATATTTGTTCTCTTTTATTCTTTAAAGTTTAACAATTCATTCTTTATCTTAATATCTTTATATTTGCTTGGGGTTGGCTTTCTTCCCTTTCATCTTTTTTATTGTACAGCAATCTTTCTCCTCAAACCTACCACCTCTCTCTTTTCTTTCCTTCTTACTTTCTCTTCCCCCACCCTCTTTTTCTCCTCCCTACTTCCTCTTTCTTTCTCCTTCTCCTCCTCTCTTCCTCCCTCTCTTACCCTCACTCCTACTCTAATTTCCATTCCTTCATCCCTCTCTATTGCTGTAATCCTTTAATGCATATGGACTACTCAGAGGGCTGAAAAAGTTATTTTTGACTGGTCCTCAAACTTTTGACCAGTCCTCGAACTTATGACTGTCCTCACATTTTACATTTTTGCCCTATCTTGTCATCATGGTGAAGAGAAGCAGTTGTGAAATGAGTGACATGGTTGTTAAGAATGCTGCATGGGCATAAATGTGAGGATGGTCATAAGTGTGAGGACCAGTCAAAAGTGCGAGGACCTGTCAGAAATGACTTTTTTCAGCTCTCTGGTTAGTCCTTTTGTGCATATGGACTACTCAGAGGGCTGAAAAGGTTATTTTTGACTGGTCCTCACACTTTTGACCAGTCCTCGAACTTACAACTGTCCTCACATTTTACATTTTTGCCCTATCTTGTCACCATGTTGAAGAGAAGCAGTTGTGAAATGAGTGACATGGTTGTTAAGAATGCTGCACGGGCATAAATGTGAGGATGGTCATAAGTGTGAGGACCAGGCAAAAGTGCGAGGACCTGTCAGAAATGACTTTTTTTCAGCCCTCTGGTTAGTCCTTTTGTGCATATGGACTACTCAGAGGGCTGAAAAAGTTATTTTTGACTGGTCCTCACACTTTTGACCAGTCCTCGAACTTACGACTGTCCTCACATTTTACATTTTTGCCCTATCTTGTCACCTTGTTGAAGAGAAGCAGTTGTGAAATGAGTAACATGGTTGTTAAGAATGCTGCACGGGCATAAATGTGAGGATGGTCATAAGTGTGAGGACCAGTCAAAAGTGTGAGGACCTGTCAGAAATGACTTTTCAGCCCTCTGAGTAGTCCCTATACACATAGCCATGGCCACCCGGTCACATGACCAGGTAGCCACGCCCACCCAGTCACATGGCCTCCAAGCCACGCCCACACAATAAGCCACGCCCACAATGGTGTCCTTCTTACCAATGTTAAAATCTGTTCACCTTACCCTATAGACATAGCCATGGCCACCCGGTCACATGACCAGCTAGCCACGCCCACCCAGTCACATGACCAGCTAGCCACGCCCGCAAAATAAGCCACGCCCACAATGTCCCTCTTTACCAATGTTAAAATCTGGTCACCTTACCCTATGAAAATTTTGATAAATGAAGCAAGAGAAAGCACAACAAAATTCTTAATATTACATGAGCAACATATTTCAGGAAACATTTGTGAAAACGCAAAAAAGTATTTCAGACCAAACTTAAATTCGCTTTAGAAATTATAAGCAATTTACAAACATATTAATTATTCTAAGACAGATAATGTAAGAAAGAAGAAGGCTGATTCAGATGTGTGTGGACTCCTTTTATTATTTTGTTTTGTTTTTAATTTTCCTGTGGTCTTCTAACACAGAAAGTATATATATTCAAGAATTTTTCAACAGACATGAATGTATGAAAGCAGTCCTGAGCATGATTAATATTTTAAAAAGTGCCTTCTTCAATCAAATAAGTATTCATTAGTCCAATTAACAATATGAATAAGCAAGGCTTCATTCATGGTGTCGTGATCTCTTCAGCCTTATGGCCATTCTGATGTAAGCAACATTGTAAAGGTCTTAGTCATACCAACATTTGCAACCATCGGTGATAAATTCTGAAACCAAATAGGTAAGTATCCAGAGCAGCTGAAAGCCCATTTCCCAAAATTCCATCTCAGAGATGAAGCAAGAAAACTTTGGAGCCCTACCTATCTTGAATTACTATTCTCTGCAGACAACCAGCATATCCATGTTTTAAAATAATTGTAGTCTTTGGAAGAGACAGGAGACTATATCTTAATATTTATCCAACTGCATCGATTTTCAGAAAGTTAAAAGTTGAACTACTGAAAAGTTCACCTTCTGTTTCACTCAGTACTTCTCTTCCTTGCCTCTTGGATTTGCACAGTCTGCTGTGGATCCTTGGGCCAATCTATTTTTATCTAGATAAAGAAAACTGCAAGGAATTGTTCAGGCAAGAGTCAACTCTGAGTTGAAAGCAAAACAAAAAAACAAAAAGGCTAACAGTGCATCAAAAACAATAACATTTTGTATTGACTATGGTTTAGAATTCAATCTGTTTTTTTTATTGAAAAGTTTTAGAGAATTTTACAAATATTTTCCCATCCCACCTCCCACCTCCCTCCCCAACCCTCCCCCCCGACTTCCCAGAGCAAAATACAGGGTATAGCATTCAACAAACATATACTAACACAAGCTAACTATCTATAGACTCCTATCTTCCTTTTGTGATTTAACTCCCCTTTAACATGACTAAATATAAGTACTTTTCTAAAATCTCTCTTTTCATTCATTTGAAACTTTTGAAGTCTATTTGAACTATTTGAAACTTTTTAGTCTGATATTTGTTTTGAATATAGTCAATCCATCTTCTCCATTCCAAAATATATCTTTCATTTGAATAGTCCTTCAAATATGCTGAAATTTTGGCCATCTCTGCTAAATTTGCTACTTTTAGTGTCCATTTTTCAATCGTAGGCAAATCTTCCTTCTTCCATAGGCAAATCTTCCTTCTTCCAATACTGCGCCACCAAAAGTCTTGCTGCAGTTATTAAATTTAAAATCAAATTAGTCTCTATAACCATACAATCTGTAATTATACCCAGCAAAAACAGCTGTGGGGTAAACTTTATCTTCTTTTTAAGAATGTTTTGCATAATCCACCATATTTTTATCCAAACGCTTTGATTTTTTTACATGTCCACCATATATGATAATACGTGGCATCATCTGTTCAATCTGTTCAACAGAATTCAATCTGTTGAAAGCATCCAAAACAAAGACAAATTATGATTGAGAACAGTTTTCCTTTTGCATCTGTTTAGCACTGTAATCTCTCTGTATAAAAGCCTGAGAAATGTAGTTATTTTGCTGCTCTTATTGCGTCATCAGATAACCGCCCGGCCGCCCTCTTTAGGGTAACCCACTCCCTGCTCCACCAGGAAGCGCGGGAGGACCCCTTGGAGGATAGAGCCGAGGATTTTGCTGAGTATCTGTATGACAAAATCACTCAGATTTGGGAAGATCTGGACTCCGACTGGGTAGTCTCAGGGGGAGGGACTGGGGGCAGGTCTTGAGAATGTTATCTGGAATGAGTTTGATCCTGTGACCCCTGAGGACGTGGACAGGATTCTGGGCAGACTGAACGCAACCACTTGTTTATTGAACCCGTGTCCTTCCTGGTTAGTGCTGGATTCCCGGGAAGTGACATGAGGCTGGCTCCAGGGGATTATAAATGCTTCGTTGGGTGAGGGTGACTTTCCCGCCGCCTTGAAAGAGGCGGTGGTGAGACCTCTCCTCAAGAAGCCTTCCCTGGACCCGGCAATGTTGGTAAACTATCGTCCGGTCTCCAACCTTCGCTTTGTGGCGAAGGTTGTTGAGAGTGTGGTTGAGCAACAGTTCCCCCAGCACCTGGATGAAACGACATATCTGGATCCGTTCCAGTCGGGCTTCAGGCCCGGATACAGCATGGAAACAGCATTGGTCGCGTTGGTAGATGATCTCTGGAGGGCTCGGGACAGGGGGTGCTCCTCTGTCCTAGTCCTGTTAGATCTCTCAGTGGCTTTTGATACCATCGACCATGATATCATGCTGCACCGGTTGGAAGAGTTAGGGGTGGGAGGCACTGTGTTGCAGTGATTCTCCTCCTTTCTCTCTGACCAGTCGCAGTCTGTGTTGACAGGGGGGCAGAGGTCGACCCCAAGGCCCCTCATATGTAGGGTGCTGCAAGGGTCGGTCCTCTTGCCCCTCCTGTTCAACATTTATGTGAAGCCGCTGGGCGAGATCATCCATGGTTTTGGGGTGAAGTACCACCAGTACGCTGATGACACCCAGCTGTACATCTCCACCCCG